CCCGCCCCGCCCCGCCCCGCCGCCGGCCGGCGCCCCGCGCTCCGGCTTGTGTTTCTTCGGGGATAATAAACGGGTTTTTTTCTATTTTTTCTGTCACCAAGTTGCCCCTTTCCTACATGTAAGAGGCCGTGGAAGTGCCTATTTTCGCCCGTCGGTGTCCTGTCGCGAAAAGAGTGGGGTTTGGGTAGGGAGGGGACCATAAATCCCGAGTCCTGGAACCGAACGGAGCTTGAGAGCGCGAAAGTTTTGTTTTTCTTTGTAAATTAGAAATTCTCCTTCAAAGTTAACGAGAGACAGGAAAGCCAGTGTTAATCTTCAGAAGGTCTTTGTCACATTAGCGAATAAAGTGAACAGTTAGAGTGTCATTCTTTAAAATATAATGGTTTCAAAGAGAGTGAGGTAGCACAAACTCCCACAAGCCGTGCCTCCGCTTCTCTTACCGAGATTTTTACCTCTGGCTACAGCGGAACACTCAGCGAGGGATTTTTTTTGACCCGTGCTTCCAAAGCTAAAGTTTCCAGAGGCTGTGCGTGAAATAATAGACAGCGTATACTTTATTTACGTGAGAATGGGCTACTTTCTCTGCAACTCTTTGCTGCTGTTACCATAGCAAAAGGCTCTCTAATGTTAATGCAATAAATTGGGACACGAAGACCAAAGATGAAGAGGTCTGTGTCAAATCACTGAGCTTCATGTAAGTCTCTGGCATACAGAAACAGACCACACTCTAAATAAAGCACACAGTGTTGTTTCTGTAAAATCTGTTGGTATGATTCAGTTACACGGGGAAAAAAAATGGCAGAGATTGAGTCTGCAAGAGATGTGAAAGCACCACTTTATTCATATTTTGCTGCCAAGCTAGGAAGAAAAATTGCAGGTTTTGCTCACTGCTCTTTTTCCAGGTTACAGATCAAGTCACAGCAGCTTCTGTACATAAAATCTTCAGCTGCAGCACAAAGTGATTTTTCACAACATGGTGACTACTCTATTAGCATGCAGACGTCCTTATCAGCTAAAATGTTGTATATATTTTCGTGTCTCTGGCAGGAGCTCCTAATTCATTTACTTTGAAGTTTAATGGCCATCAGCCAGTTTAGCACCATCATATTGCTGCATTTGTACCTGATGTATACAAACTGCACTTGCACTGTTTACATATGACGCTGACCAGATGATCAACTTCACTATTTCAACGAAACACAAGATCTGTGAGTGGAAAAATATCACTTCACTCCTCTTTCTGATTCCACTACAGGGAAGGCAAATGAACTTCTTGAAGATTTTGGGTGACCCTTCATCTTCAATTAATTCACAAAGTCCCATTCTTTAAAACTTCATATAGGCAGTTTGACCTTTCCTCGTATATTTATGGTTAAAAGGACTTCAGGAAAATAAACATATTTTTCTCTCCCACTTATGTTTCCTTTCTAACTTTTCCTCATTATTGAGGTCTTCTAGCTGAGGAGTTATCCCTGAGACAGGGAAGGTAAATAAGATGGCAAATTCAGCAAATCTGGGTCTGGGCTTTCAAAGTTGTGTTGGAAGTGGGCTGGTTTATAGAGCAATGTTCACTGGGAATTCTACGAAGGCAAGAGAACTTGACTGTAACACATTTACTTCATATAGTAATAGGGGGCATAAAGAATTGAATAGTGAAATTATTAATGTCTCCTAATGTTTCATGAAATCAGGTGGATGACTGTATGTCTGCTCCATCCCACCTAGGTCTGGTAAAAGCCCTGATGTCCTTTAAAAACTAAACTTGTTACAGTGTCTGTAAGCTGAATCTTTTTATACTCACCAATTCTTTTCACATTACCAATGCCAAAACTGGGGCAATGCCAATACTGGGGTTGGGACAGAAGCCTTTCTACCTCACAATAAAACGATTTCCCCCATTTTCTGCAACTCTTATTTTGCAAGAGTAATAATGCAGCACAATAGCACATTTTCCTCTAGTCTGTAATTTGATATTTTCAAGACTGTTTCCTTACACACACACAGTCAGATGGAATACAGCTGTATGTCTAAATCTTGTATAGCAGTGATAACTACAACACCAACCGTCTCCTGAGGAAAAGCCTCTCAACATGTGCCAGAGCAGCACTGTAGCGCATTGTTGTAGTCCTTGTCTTACTCCTCTTTTGAGGCTGTCAATCTCCATCAAATGTTAAATGGCCCTGAAGCTGGTTTTTGTAATTATTTTAAATGTTTCTATTTATTTGATTTCCCACTTATGTGTTTACTCCATTATTGCCTTCCCTTATTGTTAAGAAGACAATATAGTCTCATGACCATGTCACAAGCAGTCAAGCCATGTGTATTAGGGGGAGGATGCAGAAGTACCAGAAAAAAATCAAGGCATAGGAGGAGAGCTGAAGAGTGTCACCTCATTCAGTAGTGAATACACAAGGACAATTTGCCCTCCTCCCCCAAATACTACTATTCCTTGTGTGATTAGCAGCACGAAAAGCCTGAAGTTATGCCCCAGAAGTCATTATTGTAGTCATGATCAGGCTTAATTAGGATACATGGAAGTAGTACACATTTCCCTGCAACGCAGACACAGAAAGGGAGCAGATAGGGAGGACACTTGCTGGGAGAGATTCTCCCTCCCTCTTATGCATTTGCCATCACAATTACAGCAAGTTTTGCTGCCTCACCTTAGACGAGGAGACCCGCAAGAACAACAGGACCTCAGTGGTATTCCACATTGCCCGTCTCTACATGGTCTGTCAGAATGAACAGAGATATCTGATAGAGTAACAAAGATTTGCCAGCAAATCCTACAGAACATTTTTTACTGGTGCTACCAATGTGAGCCAGCTCAGACTGCAGGGCTAGATCTGAAAGCCTCTATAGAGCACTTCGCAGCCAGCATGAAAAAGTATAGATTATTATAACCAGTAATATATGCCTACTAACTTGAAAAAATACATAGTAATCCAAACTAAACTTAATGCCTGCAAGACAACAGCAATTTTTGCAAGATTAAGGTAATTCTCCATTTATTGCATGTCCCTTTTGCGATACTTAACCTGTCACTAGGTGACAAAGCATAGTGGCCACCATAGATGACATTATAAGTCCTAGGAAAAGCACCTTACAGAGATTCAGTGTTCAGCTGTTTGTACATATACTGAGGATAATTCTTCCTGAACTGTTTGCTCCTTTTCCTCCCCTTCCTTCTGACTTTTCCACAGGAGTATCTAACTGCACTGCAGTTATTCATTTCACATTGCCACACCTTTCCCAAACGCGTAAAGCCCATCCCCATTTTGGAGGTGGAAGAACTGAGAGTCACTTCTCCACATTTCTTAAAAATGTAGTTACTTGGATCCTCCAATTTTTGTCTGGTTCATGTTTTCCACCCTCCTCCTGCTGAGGCCCAGCTATATATGTTAATTCTCATCATTTCCTGTCAGCAGAAAAATGGTTCAGAGATGATTCATCTAATTTTGCAGGGGAAGAAACAAAACCTGTTCAAAATGCAATGAATTTGCCTGCTCATTTTAACTTTTAATTTGTCACAAACCTCGTCTCTCTCCCGCACGCACACAGGCCAGGCCAGGACGTCGGTCTGCAGGTGGGGTCAGGATCAGGCCCGGTGAGAGGCTCTGGGGTCAGACACAGCCCCAGTCCCAGTCCCAGTCCCAGTCCCGGGCACTGGGCACCTCCCTGGTGCAGTGGGGCCGCGGCCGGGCAGGGCTGTGGGGAGCTGGAGACTGGCGCTGCTGCGGCACGGCGGCTCCGAGGGGCTGAAGGGGTGCTGGGACCCAGGCAGGGTGCGGGGAGCCCCAGGAGGTGCTGGGCAGGGACAGGCAGGGCTGGTGGTGCCCTGGTAGGAGCCCTTCTTGGTGGAGCAGGGGCTACAAAAGGCTCTCAAAGCTGCTGCTTCAGCACCCCTCTGGATCCAGACAATAAAGAGCAATTTTGGCCAAGTCGCATGCAAATGTTTAAGCACAGTCCCAGTAGGCAGGCAAGTAGATTTCTGTCATAACAAAACTCTGCTGCCACTTGCGCTTGACATCGGATGTAGTCGCCAGCTCTGGGTTCAAGACAGCTGAGAACAACAGTTCCTGCACCTCAGTTTAGCGATCCCCAACTCTTTTGTCATCAAACACATCAAAATGTGGGAATGGCTTGGCTGACCTTGTATAGGGCCCACAGTGACCAGTCAGTTGGATCCAAGCCACCCTTCCACCTTCATTTCATTGACCCTCACAGGGAAACATCTCGAGACGTTTTGGACTAGCAGTAGCCAGCTTCAGTTGCCAAACTGTCCTTCTAGATAACAGCGTTTCCATCCCCTCCAGCTCTGTCACAAAACCCAAAAGGGGCCAGTAGAAAAAGCTGTTTGTTCCACCTTGTAGCTGCTATCTGGAGAAAATGCTGACCCACAGTTTTGGTCTGGATGACAATGTACAAGTCTCCCTACTAACCGTCGGTTGGAACTCCCATCCTTGCCCATGCCACTCTGAACCATGACACGCATCGCAGGGGTGCCTTGGCCAGTTTTGTTTCTTCTAAGGCAGCTGGTCTCAAACTTTGGGCTGGCGTGCAGCCCTTGGGGCTCACTTGCTCCCCGTTGGTGCCCACCCTGGGCAAGGAAAGGACGACTGCCTTTACTTACTATCAGCAGCTAAGCATATTAGCTGTTCTGTGATTAATCTAGACACTTACGAGCTGCCTTTTGGACCTGTTTCCCTTCTAGAGTGCTGTGACCCACGGTTTGGGAAAAGACCTGCTTGAGAAGAGCTCTCACTGCATTTAGGCACCTCCTCAGCCTCCGTGGAAAGATCCTGCATTACTAGCTTTGTTCCTCCTTTCCTAACTGAGAGCTTTAACTCTTCTCGCTTCCCTCCTTCCACCACCAGTGACCCACAGTGCCCAAATACCACCTGCAACACCCTCACTTTCTGCAGAGAAGCCAGGGACATGAGCTGCCACCTCACAAAAACAAGCCCACAGTGGCTCAGCGCAGGTGGG